ATTACATTTGCATGTGATCGCCGAAGTCAAAAGCAGCTCATTTAAACGCTTCTTCAGGCTGTTAATACACAAAGAGTTATTGGGGTAGAAATAAAACGATGTAATGATGAGAATGCCGATGATCGAAGTGCATGTGCTTACGCAGCGTGGGCCAAAACTGACTCGATGAACCGAAGCGTGTGCATTGAAGGTTTTGTTTTGAGCATTTGGACCACAGCAAACTAACTTCTGCTGTTGTCAATTCAGATGAATCTTGCTATTACATGTCCAATGACAAATTCACCGTTTAACTACTTAAGTAGGAAGACATGCACACATCTTCATCGTTTAATACAGGGTAAAGATAACGATTAGAAGGCCTAATCATAATGATGGATTTCTTGCCCGATTACAGGTGATCTAGCTATCGGTCAATCAGAAAGCATTCAGCTGTATAAATGCCGTGTCTGACTTGATATGGCTCATTCCATAGAGCATCGGACTCGCAGTTGCAAATTTGCGGGTTCAGTATTTGTCCAGATCGCCTGCCTTTCAGCTACCTGATGTAGATAAATCAATACTTTTTCTTGGGAGGAACTAAGATAGCAGACGCTGTGGTTGCCATTTAGCTGCAGACATTGACCTTAAGCAAGACGTTCATACCTGCTGATCTCCACGAAAAATCTGTGCAACATCAGGAACTTCACGAACGAACAATTTCACAGATGGCGCTAATCATGGATGTGCCAGGAGGATCGACAGCCGGAATGCCACAGATTTTTTCTCCAATTTTAATAAAAATACACTGATTCAGTTTTACTTGAAGACTATGATTTGTGACAAAAGTCATTAAACTATGTCTGATACCGAATTTGACATGAACTATTAGGAAAATTCCAAAAGTCAAATATGGAAATCCAATCAAAGCGTTTTCTAGCCGAAATATGACAATGATAACAAAGGAGCAAATATTTAGAAATAGGTCCACTTTTCGCTCTATTTACAAATATAGGATTTGCGCATGAAATGGTTCCTCTGTTGTATTTTAATAAAATAATGCTAAATTT